GCTGCTGCTGCTGCTGCTGCTGCTCTGGGATCGGGTGCGATCCCCTCAAACCCTCCCAAAGACAGAGGCCCAAACTGTAAACGTCGGCGCTTCTTTCGTGGCAGTCGCGAAACATCTCTGGCGCTAGGTCTGCACAAACCCTAAACCCTAAACCCTAAACCCTAGCCCTAAACCCTGGAGTCTAAACTCTAAACCCTGGAGTCTAAACCGTGAGCCCAAAGCCCCAGATAGAAGACTTTTGCAAGCTTCTCAGCAAACGCGTCAAACTTTCTGTCTCGCCTCCGACTTCCAACTCCTAAACCCTAAACCCTAAACCCTAAACCCTTGCCTCACAGGAGACAGTGCCGCAAAACGTTTGGCGTTTTTCTCTTCCCCCCACAAATGAGCAAAAGCCGAAATCCCCCAAAAGCACTCTTAGAGGGCCTGAAGATGCAAATAAGAAAATCCCAAAACCCTAAACCCTAAACCCCAAACCCTAGCCGCGTACTTGGAGCTTTAGCTTGAAACCCTAAAACTTGACAGCTGTCCTAAACCCTAAACCCTAAACCCTGAACATGCTGCATGCTCACCAGAGGGCGAAGTTCTGTGCAGCAGGATGTTCTCTGGTTTTATATCTGCCGCCGCAAAAACGCAAACCCTAAACCCTAAACCCTATATCTTAGCCTTAGCAGGCCCCTCCCTCGCAGGCCCCGCAGCGCCGACACTCCCCAGCAAAGCGTAGAGGCCCTCCACGAGGGTTTAGGGTTTAGGGTTTAGGGTTTGTCACCTCTGTGGATAATGTTGTTCTCATGCAAGTGAGCGAGAGCAGCAGCTGTTTGCGCTATATACTGCAAAGGCCGCAGCAGCAGCAGCAGCAGCAGCAGCAGCGGCCCCTGCGGATTCGACCCTAAACCCTAAACCCTAGACCCTAGACCCCAAGCCCTGGCAAGAGCAAACCACTGCAGCGTCGGAGCCCTAGGGTTTTGGGTTTAGGGTTTGGGGCTGGGCCTACGCTGGCTGTTTCTTGTTCAGGCAAAGGGCCTCCCTTTTCTCTGCAGCGCAGCCCGAACCACAAACCCCAAACCCCTCGCCGACGCCCCAAACCCTAAACCCTAAACCCTAAACCCTAGCAGCAAACCTGAATCGGTGTCGGAGAGTCCCTCTGTTGGCATATTCAAGAACAAACACTAAATGTTCTCTGTCTTCAAAAGAACCCCAAAACCGCACCACGTTGGGGTGTCTGTACACCTCAACAGCGCAGCACAGCCTCAAACCCCAATCTCATTACACTCCAGCTGCTGCTGCTGCTGCGGCTGTTGTTGCTGCTGCTGCTGCGGCTGTTTTTGCTGCTGCTGCTGGTGCGGCTGCTGTTGTTGCTGCTGCTGCTGCTTCTTGCGTTGCAGCGTCGCCTGAAGCCCCTGCACTGCTGCTGCAGCCTTCCTGGCCCCTGCCGATGAGTTATCGTCGAGGGTTTAGGGTTTAGGGTTTAGGGTTTGCGGTTTTGGGCACCTGACGGAGGAATGAAGAGCTCGCTCTCTACGGACTTGCTCTCTAAGTCCCAATTCGGCTATTTTGCACTTCTGCAATATTTTCAAAGCAACAAAAGGGGGGGCCCCCTGGGGGCCCCCAACTGTACCCTCTTCCTCCAGCTGCAGCAGCAGGGGGCCCCCCACGCAGCGGGCAAGCACGACCTGGCTTGTGCTGCAGAGAAGCGCAGCACAAGCTGCAGCAGGAGCAGCTGCAGCAGGAGCAGCTGCTGCAGCAGCAGCTGCAGCAGCAGCTACTGCAGCGCGAGCAAATGCCGCTGCAGCAGCTGCTGCAACAGCAGCAGCAGCAGGGGTGCTGGTTTTCTGCGTCTCTTTGCTTCTCTTTCTGGCTTTTAAGCCCCTGGGCTGCTACAACTTCTTATTTATTTTTATCTTTTTTATCTTTCATTTATTTATTTATTTTTATCTTTTTTATTTTTATTTTTGTTTTTATTTTTTCTTACCGCCCCAACCCCAGCAGCAAATCGCAGGGGGCGAAATCGGAGGCCTGCAGATACGCCCGCGGCTGAGGGGGCAAATTGGCACATCAAAAAAACAAATTAATCAATCAATTAATTAATTAAATTAATTAGTGAATTAATTAAATTAAATATTTATTTATTTATTTATTTGCTGCTAGCAGGTGCATGCAGAGGCAGAAAGGACAGAAAAAAGCCCGAAGAAGAAAGAGGCAAAAATGAAACACAGGGACTGCTGCAGCAAGCCATCGCAGCAGCAGCAGCAGCAGCAGCAGCAAGTCCCTCTGCAGCAGTGGAAGGCTTCAGCGAGCATCAAAGAGACAGGAAAAGAAGCAAAAGAGACAAAAGGAGATAAAAGAGACAGTGGAGAGCAGCAGCAGGAAAGTGGAGTGCTGTGGGGCTGAGGTGTACGTACAGCTTCGGCTGCTGCTTCTGCTGCTGCTTCTGCTGCTGTTCTGCTGCAGTTCAAATTTACGTTTTCTTTTTCTTCTGTTTCTATCTCCTCAGCAAACTGCAGCTCGCTGTCTCCATCCGCCGTCGTCACCGCAGTCATGCACCTGCTGCTGCTGCTGCTGCTGCTGCTGCTGCTGTCCTTTTGCTCCTGCTGCTCCACCTGCTGCAGCCACTTGAAGAATGACACGGGGCGGGGGGGGGGCCCGGGGGCCCCCAGGGGCCCCTGAGCTGTTTTGTCAGCTTTGGGTACTGTTGTTTGTGGGGTGAGAAGGGCTTTTGGAATCTGAAGACAAAGAAATGCATTTTTGGCTTTTTGCAATTCAAAATAAAACAAGAAGCAGCAAATAAATAAATAAAATAAATCCAAATAATGAGCTTTTCCTTTTTCGTCTACAATTACTTTATCTATTTTAGGAAAAGACCAAAAAATACTTCACCTGCTGCCCCCCACATGATGGGGGCCCCTCTGAACCCCTACTGGGGGGCCCCCCGGGGGCCCTTCGGGGGGCCCCTTTTGTGTCTGCTGC